GAGAGAGGGAGACACAGAATCGGAAACAGGCTCCAGGCTCTGAGCCATCAGCCCAGAGCCCGATGCGGGGCTCGAACTCACGGACCGCGAGATCGTGACCTGGTTGAAGTCAGACGCTTAACCGACTGCGCCACCCAGGCGCCCCAATTTCCTTCCTTTTTAAGGCCGAATGATACTCCATTGTGTAGAGATACGATATTTTGTTTATTTCTAGACATTTGGGTTTCTTCTACCTTTTGGCTATGGTGAATAATGTTCCTCTGAACATTGGCGTGTCTTTCAGGGGTGGGATTGCTAGGTCATATGGTAGTTCTGTGTTCAGTTTTTGAGGATCTGCCCTGCTGTTTTCCACAGCCTCTGCGCCATTTTATATTCCCAAAGTGGTGCACAAGGGTTCCAATTTTACCACATCTTCGCCAACACTGCTTGTGTTCTGTTTTTTGCATTTTTTTTTTTTTTTTATCATAGCCATCCAAATGGTTGTGAACTGTCCTTTACGTCTGAGCATCATCAAAGCAGTTATTCTACTTAAGCGCATGTGGACTCTGGGTGGGGTCAGCGAGACTCCAGCTGCCCCACCCCCCCCTCCCCCAGGCAGGATGCTTCCTGCTCTGGCTTTATCTTCCTCATCTGTAAGGTGGGGGTCTTAGCAGGATCCGCTTCTGTGGTGAGACAGGATTCTTGTGCTGCTCATGATGACCTGGGCCGGCTGGACACTGGAGGTCTGGTTTGCCTGCTGACGTTGCAACTTTTTTGATCTTTCAAATGGCATAGGAGTCCCAGCGTTAGGGTTAGGGTTGGGTTAGGGTGATGGCTTTCTCTTCCCTTAGGTTCTTTCCATAGGATACGTTTTTAGAAGCAAGGTTACAGAATCAAAAAAAAGTGCAGGGCACCTGGGTGGCCGACTTCAGCTCAGGTCATGATCTTACGGTTTGTGGGTTCGAGCCCTGCGTGGGGCTCTGTGCTGACGGCTCAGAGCCTGGAGCCTGCTTCAGATTCTGTGTCTCCCTCTCTCTCTGCCCCTCCCCTACTTGCTCGCGCACATGTGTGCACATACTCTCCGTCTCTCTCAAAAATAAATAAACGTTAAAAAAATAAATGCATGCTTTTTGGGGGGGGTGATTATATTGGGGAAAAGCACTTGATTTGTATTCAGAAGATTTCAACCCTAGCTCTGCCCTTCCCTAGCATATGATCTGCCTCATTGTCAGGACTGTTTTCCTCATCTCTAGAATGGCGGTAATAATTTGACAAACAGAGGGTTGCTGAGAGTATTAAATGGGAGAAGGTAGAAGGTGCACAGAGTCACGTAGCGTGGTGCCTGACTCTTGACGGAGTCTCAAAAAATATTAGTTGAGAGTGAATGTTGCCAAATTGCTTCTATCTGTTTCCTTGGTCCTGGGAGCAGATAAGCATATCAGTTTTCCCACAGCCATGCCTACACTGGATGCTGTTACTTTCTTCTCTCAGGGATGGTCTCCCTTCAAATGCTTTTTCTGCCCACTGGCTTGATATCCCCTCTGGCGTCAGGCCTGGGGATATAGCTGTGAACCGGACCTAGGACTCAGGTCCGGCAGTTGAGGGGAAGAAACAGAGGCAGTCACCACATGTGTGATCAAGTGCCAGGCAAGGTGGAAACACCGAGACTTTGATAGACTTTGGCGCCCTAGGGCGTCAGGGAAGGCTTCCTGGAAGAGGTGGCATTTTGGAGCTTAGGACTGAGGGATGAACAGGGAATGGCCAGGGAGTAGGAAATGGCAGCGTAGAGGCGTGGAGGCGAGGAAAAGCATAGCATGTCTTGTGATCTGTCCGGGGGCTCATCGTGCTGAAGTAAGGATGTGAGTGCGTGTGAGAGACAGACGGATGGACGGGGAGGAGGTGAAGGGGATCCGGATCCTGCCGGGTCGTGGGGAGGGAGTTTGACACGCGTGTGCTCTGAGCAAGGCGGGGTGGTGTGATGGCACTCGCCTGTCATAGCCTCGTGCCACGGCTGCTGGACTAGATGGGAGGAGGCTCCGGCAGCCACGGGCGTGTCGGCCAGGAGGCGGATTTCAAATGTCCCTTCTTTTTGAATTCTCCCTGGCCATTAACCTCTTTATTGTCACTTGTCTAACTTTCTTTGCACCTTGCTTATTTCCCATCTTCCTGATTGCCAGGGCTGTGGGGACAGGGCTTTCTCCACGTCTTACCGCTGTGTCCCTTGCACCTGGCCCAGAGCTCGGTACCCGGTAGGTGCTCAGTAGTGGTGTATTGGACGAAAGGAATGGATGAATGAATGAACGGATGAGCTGGGGCCGTTGTCATGGGGACGGAGAAGGGAAGATACATACGCTCTGGTGACACTGGACGTTCTGGGCGGACGCGGGCATGCCCTTGGTGCCCAGCGCAGGGCACCACGCAGGGCAGGTTTGCGGATTTGGGAGGCCAGGTCACATCCCGGAAGCCACTGGAAGGTGTGTGGACTGGCTCACACCCCTCACCAGACGGTGGCATTCCCGGGAAACGGCACCCAGAGACGGCTGAGTGAATGACGGGTGAGCTCCCAGATCGGATTCAAGGGTGCAATTACGAAAGCTCTGCAGCAGCTGTTAGAATGAATCCACGCCTCTGAAGCTGAGAGAAAAGCTGCCAAACTCTTTGGTTTTGAATGGAGGTGTTTCTCTTGCCTTCTCCCTGTGTGGTTCTCTCGGGAGGGGGCTGTGAGCGCCGTGGCTGTGCCCCCCGGCACCGAGCCCAGTGCCTGGTTTGCAGAAGGAAGGTCAGAAGGATGGGTGCACAGATGCTCCGAGTGACTCCCGCCTCATTTCAGCAACTAATGGTCCTGGTGACTCAGTTCCCAGGAGAATGGGCTCCTTTGCATAAATTTGCAGGAAGTGGGCATTTCAACCTTTGCAGATCCATTCAGGGAGATCAAGCCCGTACACTGGGCAGGTTCAATGGCACGGACTTGCCCGTTGCTACCTGCCCCCCCTGCCCCCCACCAATGCTTGAGGTCAGACGGACATGCTCTGGCCCCTGATCCGCGGTGGCCTCCTGACCTCCCAGATCAGCCTGGATTCATAGAGATGTGCCCAGAGGTGGCGCGCACTCTGTGCCCCTTCTGGTTTCAGGGAGCCCTTGTTCACTTGGCTTTGGCCATAATGCTAATAAATTTCAAAAGAACGAGCGGGGCCACACAACACACAGCAGCTGGCCTCTATGTGAGGGAGCTTCTGAAGTATGTTGGAAGAGACCACAGTGTCTTAAATTAAGCATGACATATGTGATGCATTTAAAGCGAGGTTTCAAAGCGTACGTTTCAGTCGGTTTCCTGGCATTTTGTACAACAGGTTAAGTGAAACCCTGAGAGTCACGTGTTTCTAGGTTTGGGAGAGACTTCAAAATGTTAGTTATTAGGCTGTCCTTGGCGGTGCTTAAAAAACGTCTTCCCCCCCACCCCGCCTTTGCTCACTGAGGTGGTAATTAATTCGTCGAATCGGTGGTGCAGCCATATTTACATACCAGGTATTTGCCAGGCATTTTAAATGGAAACTCGAGAGGAAGCCCAAGATGGGGAGATTGCAGATAACAGAGACACTGTTCCGGTTAAGAGGGTTACGGACCAAGAGTCTTTCTTCCCTTGTCTTCCCTGCGGTGTGGCCCGCGAGGTGGGTTCCAGGATCCCGGAGTAGGGCCACACGCGTGCGTGCGCCGTTGATCCTAATTTAGCAGCAGTGGCTGTTGGTGACTTCCTTCCCAGGAAAAGCTGTGCAGAGAAGCGTTCATCCCACGCTTGGGCAGATGAGCCGGTGACACGACCCGTGACCACGTGGGGTGGATGTGGTCACAGCAGGTGTCTGACAGGCGCCTGTCCTAGGCAGTCGAGCTCCTCCCTGTGGTCCAGTGACACTCGAGGGGCTCTTGGGGAGGCAGGCAGCCTGAGCTTCCAGCGGGGCTCTTCACGGCTCTTCGGTTCCGTCACCCGGCAGCAACTGACGTGTGGTCAGACCTATGGTAGGTCTTGCCAGCGCTTGCCGGAGCTGGAGTAACTCCTCCTGTATCCTAGATTGCTTAGTGCCATGAAGCTCGTGGTACATCCTCATTCACCGACTTATTCATTCAGCCATTATTTTTGTACATACTCAGCAGTTATGTATTCAGTGCTACTCTATGCCAAGCTGCTGTGCTAGCTACTGGGGATTCAGGGTGCCCTCTGGGGGCTTGCCATTGAACGGGAAAGACTGATACGACGTGAAGGCTCATGCAGTATTCAATATGCCCGTGTTACTGTGACGAGTCCTGCCGAGCACCTCTGGCGCTCCATGGACGTGTAAGAGGACTGTGCCAGGCTGGGGAGGTGGGGCAGAGAGGTCTGAGCTGTGTTCTGAGGGGTGGTCCTGTGTCTGTATGTGAGTGAGAAGGGCATCCCAGGAAGCAGGCACGGCAGGTGCAAACGTCCCGGGGTGCATTTCAGGACCTCCAACAGATGCAGTGTTCAAGTACTTCTGAGGCAGGAGAAACAGCTCCCAAATTAGCCAGCACCTTGGGTTCTCGGTGTCATCCCCCAGCCTGGGGACTCTTCCGGGATCACCCACCATTCCCATTTCCAAGCAGTTCGTACTCTTCCTGTGCTCCCACATCCCCCTGTATACACCATGGTGTTTATTACTCAGAGTTGTAAGTGCTTCTGTGTGTGTGTGTGTGTGTGTGTGTGTGTGTGTGCGTGTGTGTGTGCGTGTGTGTGTGTGTGTTTCTTACACAAGACTGTGAGTTCCCTGAATGCAGGGGATTTTTCTTGTTGCTCCTTGTGCACATGGTAGGTGGTCAGTAAACACGTTAGCAGAGGAACAGGGCAGGGGGGCAGATTTTTATTGAGCTCCCGCTGTGGACTCAGCCCTCTTTATGCTACGGTATCGGGAAGCCGAAAGGAGCGTGTGTTTGACAAGCTGGAGAGCTCTGTGCCGTCTGTGCACATATTGCCGGAACTCCGGAACCGAGGCTGTGGTCCTGTGTCTCCCCAGACCTGCTGAAACCCAGCCCTGCGGGAACGAGCCTCCCTGCCCCCGTCCGCCTCTGCCATGGGAGTGTGCGGCCAGCCCCGTTCGCGATGAGACGTGACGCCGTTGACTTTCTCAGGCAGTCACACATCCCCAGCCGGCGCCTGCCAGCTCGGGTAAGTGGGGCCGGGGTGTCCGGGAGGTGGAGGGCGCCTGTGGGTCCTGCCGGGGAATTTTCTCTCCGTCCTTTGTGTTCTGTTACTGCCCCTTGTCTCATGTCCGGCTCACGTGTGTGTCCCAGGGCAGGGTTTCCAAGAGGTCACGTGGACTGGCCCTAAGGGAGACCAGTCCTGATTTTGGTCAGGACCCGACATGCTTAGAACTCTGCCCCCGGGGCCTTGGCAGACAGAACTCTGCCATTCTCCGATTCTCTGGTTCTCCCTATCTGTCCCTCTTCTGCTGCCTCTAACCCTGTCTAGACAGCGTTCTCCGGTTTGGGGAGAAGAAATCTGTTAGCACCATCGAGCGTGTAAGGAAGAGAAAATATCAAAATCTGTCTGCCTTTCTTTCCTGCAGGCTGCTGAGTGAGTCAGAGCCGGGGGCAGCAGAGTGGGGCCCCAGGAAGGGAAGCAGGAGGCTCGCGTTGAACTGAAATCCCTTCTGCTTTTATTCCATCTAGATGGGGGCAAGCTGGGGGCAGTTTTGCAGGGAGACGGAACTCGGACATGAAAGTGGTGGGGGAGGGCGGGGGGCGGGGATGAAGAACAGTCACTTCAGAAACCAGAAAGGGGTGAGATACAATGTTCAAGGAGGCCCAGGTGAATGGGGAGAGGACTTGAGGTCAGGTTTCAGCTGTGTGATGTAGGCAAGTCAGGAGACCTCTCTGGGCCCTTGCTTTTCATCCCCGTAATGGAGATGGTTATAGTCCCTGCTTCTCAGGGTTGTGCCAGGATCAATGAGAGGGGAGGGCTCCTGCCTTGAGAGAACCGCCAAGGCAAACCAGGAACGACAGCAGGTTGCGTGAAGAATGAAGTGACTTTTTGTTTTAAGGCATCTGGAAGGCTGTGTGTGTGGGGTGGGGGGAGGTGGAGGTAAGGGACAGTCTAGAGGGGTTGGGGGGCTGAGGCTGGGACCTCAGGGGCCACGAACGAACTTATGTGACCTCAGGGACTCCAGCTTTTGGTAGCTGTGTGAGCTGGGGCTGGTCACCTACCCTCTCTGAGCTTGGTGCTCAGCACAGAGTTGTGAGGAGGGTCAGCTGGGAGGTGGGAGAAGGGCTTGGGGGTAACAGGAGTGAGGGGATGTGAGGATGCTCTCAGCGGGGCTCTGGCTGGGAGTGTGCGGTGTGCGTTTGGGGTCTGACCTGAGTTCGCGTCCTGACTTCGCCCCTTACTCTCCAAGCGATCTCTGAGCTGGTTTCCTTATCTGTGTAGCAGAGATAATGACTTTTTACCTAAGAGCTGACCTTGAGATTAACCGAGGGGGGGAACCTCCTAGGGAATGTTGCCACCCTTTCCCCACCCTTCTTGGGCCTGGAACAAACGTTAGAAATGGCCCTTTAGTCCACCGACCTTGCCAAGAGTTCAGAGAGGTGGAAAGGCTGGCCTGGACTTGCCCGGTGAGGTCGGTGGAGAGTGGTTGTCCAGTACCCGGGGTGCTGGGCTCCTGGGCCCGTTCCCCCGGCCCCCTCTGCTTCGACACAGACACCGCCTGAGATTTATTTTATTTTATTTGTTTAATGTTTACTTATAATCCGAAGCAGGCTCCAGGCTCCGAGCTGTCAGCACAGAGCCCAGCACGGGGCTCAAACCCACGAACAGTGAGCTCGTGTCCCGAGCCGAAGTTGGACGCCCAACCGCCTTGAGCCACCCAGGCGCCCAGACACGGACCGAGATTTAAATTTACTTTTTCCCCCCCTCCTTTTCTTTTTTACTTTCAGTGCTTGCTTCTCTAGTTCGGATGTTCTTAATCCCCATGGGCCCACAACCGTAGCCATGGCGACGCGGGTTGAGGTCGGCTCCATAGCTTCCCTGACAGGAGTGCCAGGCCTCGGCGAGATCGCCCAGGAGGAGACCCTGAAGCGGACGTACTTCCGCCAGGCCGGTGACACCCCCGGGCCACCCTCCCCGCTGCTCTTGGAAGGAAAAAGCCCCCTCAGGAGCCCGGCCCGCTTACTCCCGCTGCCCAGACTTGCCCCCAAACCCTTCTGCAGGGAGAAGGTCCTGGACGTGAACCCCCCCGTCCCATCCTTGGGGCCCGGCCCAACCAGCCCGTCTCCCTGTGGGCGCGCCCAGGACGTGGTGGCAAAGGACCTGGGCGAGAGGATGCCTGGCTTGGTGGGGCAGGAGGCGGGGAACGGGGAAGGCCTGAGGAGAAGCTCGTCTTCGTTCAGCAAGGCTGCCTTCCCGCGGCCCCGACCCAGCACCATGATTCTCTTTGAAACCACCAAAGCCGGCCCCATTCTGGGGAAGGGGGCCAATGAGGGGGCTCGGGAGGCCACCACGGGCGTGTCTCGGGAGCCCGCGTTGGGCTCCCGGCCCGAGGTGGCCGCCAAGCCCGCCCTGCCCGCCCGAAAGCCTGCGACCCTTCCCCGACCGGCCTCCTTGTCGCAGGACACCAGGCCAGCTGCCCCCCAAGAAGAGAAAGGCCCAAACGAGCCTGTCTCAAAGGCCAGCGGTGTGGAGGACACGGGTGACCTCGCTCTGGAGCCCAGGCCTCTCCAGAGGAGAAGGCCTGTGTCGGCCATTTTCATCGAATGCATTCAGCCTCAGAAGCCAGGCCCAGGCGGGGCGGCCGCGGTGGGGAAAGCACCCCCCACCCCGCCTGAGAAGACATGGGTGAGGAGGCCCAGGCCCCTGTCCGTGGACCTCACGGCCCGGTTTGAGAGCAGAGAGGCCTTGCTGAAGAAGGCGGCCGATGAGGCCACTGCGGGTTCCACTGCCCAGTGTCGGGGGCCCGAGAGGTCCGACCCGGAGCCCAAAGTGGATGGGGAGTGTTTGGTCAAAGCAAACCTTCGCCTTTGTGACCCAGACTCAGACTTCCCAGAGGTAGCCAAGAAGCCCCGAGAACAGAAGGAGAGGGTGCTTTTTAAGCAGGCGGAGACAGGCAGCCTCAGAAGTGCTGGGGGCTCAGCCAGGGGCACCCCCACGGTTGACCAGCACCCCGGGGAGGAGAAAGTGAAGCTGCTCAGGGAGCCGGAGAAGGTGCCCCCGCCCCTCTCGCCCAGGCCGGGAAAAGACCAAGAATTTGCTGAGGTCAAGAGCAGAGCCGCCGACGCGGAAAGCCGGCTGGAGGGTGGATGGACCCTCAGGGGCAGCATCATGGCTTTGGCCGCAGAATCGGAACCCCCACCGGCCACCCCTGAGCCCCCGTTGGCTGCCCCAGAGCGTGGGAAAGCGGTTGTGAGCGTCCAGGAGCGGATCAAAGGCTGGGCCGCTGAGAGCTCAGAGGCAAAGCCAGAGATCGGGAGAAAGCCCTTCCAGGCACGGCCGTTGTCGGCGGATCTGACCAAACCGTAAGTGGGAATGTTCCACGGGCTTCGCTCAGCCCCCGGCTGCCTCCGACAGCCTACCAGAGAGGCCCCTCAGGAAAGAGAAGCAGGCACCAGGCTCCGCACTAGGCACCTTGCAGCTCCCCCGCCCTTCTTTCTCGGTTTACCCACAGCCCCCCAGAGGAGGTGGCGTTGGCTTCCGTTTCTCAGATAAGGAGCTGAGGGGCAGAGAGGGAACACGGCGCCCCTCCGGGTTCACTGTGTGCCAGCAGCTCCATTTCTTTGTCCTTTCCCCGCTTTACACGTCGCAGTGGGGAGACACCGTGCCCATTTCACAGATGCGGATAGGAGAGGGGAAGTGCCGTGAGGAAGTCTGGAGCCCTGTGTAATTCCAGTGCAGCCTGGGTCCGTCGCTAAGCTTGCCTTTCCAGAAGCCTGAGGATGTTTACTGTATAGCCTAAGCCTCCATGAGCGGCCCCCGAATAAAATCAGATGGGTCAAGATAGCTTGAGCAAGTCCCCTTCCCTCTTGAGCCTCGGTTTGTCTCTAAAACCGAAACCTTCCTTGAAGGATTATGCTGTGAATCGCTCTGCCCATGGGAGGCCATCACTACATTGTGGCTCCAAATGATATTATTAATCCTGTTAGTTAACGATGAGTTTCTAAGCTCAGCCAGGCCTCTGATATCTCTTGCTCTTTTGTTTTCCCACAAGTGGCTCCCGGGCTACAACAGGCGCGTTAAAGACATGCATGCCACTGGCATACTTTTGTGGGGAAGGAACCTCCAAGGGCCACCTCTGGGCAGACTGCCCTCCCAGCCCTGGGAACCAGGACAGCCGGCTGGGCTTGGGTTCGATCAGTGGCTCTCAGCATTTAAAAGCATCTGGGAAAAAAAAAAAAAAATACCCGTGCCTGGCACTCCCCTGCCCCCATCCAGAGATTCTGATTCGGTTGATCTGGGGAGGGGCTCATAGCTTGGTTGTTTTTAAAAGCTTCCCAAGTGATTCTCACATGCAGCCAGGCCCGAGCTGAGATACCAGAGCAAGAGGCACCCATGCAAGGGACCTCACACACCTTTTCCTGCATCCTCCCGGTGCCTTGGATTATTCTCATCTGACAGATGGGGAAACTGAGGCTCTGAGTTTGGAAACGACTCACCCATGGCCTCATGCCTCCTGGGTGGCGGACCCTGGATTGCAGAGTGGGGCGAGTTTAAGTGGCTTGTCTCTCTCCCCTCACTGGTCTCTGTAGCCCTCAGCCCTGAATTCATCTTTAGGCATCCACCCCAGGGAGCTCTTCAGAGACGGGAGAATGCTAACACCAGAACACCCTTTCATTCTCTTCCCCTTGGCAAGTGGAGAAACTGAGGCCCAGAGAGGGACAATGACTTGGCCAAGGTTACCCAGAGAGGCAGAGACCTGCCCATGCCCCCACACATTCCACGCGGCCCCCCCCCCCCGCAGGTCCCGTGGCAGGTCCGTGGTGGGGCTGCTGTTGTGCCTGGGGTTGCTAACAACAACCATTAATTATCCCTCCTGGGGCATCTTTACTCTTCCTTAAACGCCCTCACATAGCTATTAGGGCCTTGGGTAGCCTCTTATCTGCCCTACAAAAGACGATGGGGAGGTATTAATTATCCCCGTTTCATAGATGAAGAGACAGAGGCTCAGGTGAGGCCACAAGCACAACCCAAGCTCCTGCAGTGCGGAGGCAGTAGAGCTGGGACAGCACCTAGGTCTCTTCTTCCAAGCCTGGGGCTCCTGCTACCCCAGTGATGCTGTGTTTAAGGTAAACTCTCCCCACCGGGCCCTTCTCGGTTTGGCAGCTAGAGCGGCCACAGACACATCTTTTCTCAAAGCAAACCGGGTCGTGTTGCCTTGTTGATCTCCGTGCCGATTTCACCCCTGGGTTCCTGAGCTAGTTACGGGGCGTGGGCTGGAGGGAGTCCCAGCCCCTGGCCCCGTGCAAATAACTTGGATCTTCTGGTGCCAGGTTTTCAAGCCCAGCTTCAAGCAACGAAGTCCGATATGAGAAGTGTTCTGAGCTAAGTGGCGAGCTTCCTCAGGAACCCGGAGAAAAGGTGAGAAGCCTCTGTGTTTGGCACGTCTTGTTTTCTAGTGGGTGGCTTTACTTACTGGAAAAAGAGCTTTCAGGATCCACAAGACCCAGGAAACAATCAGAAGCCTCTCATGAAGAAGAAAACGTTTTTTTTTTTTTTTCTTGAATGCTGGGACTTTTTAAGTCCCTTTTGGGTTTGTGATTCTGCCCTCCTTAGTGTTAAATATTGTTTACAAATGTAATTGCCAGGTTTTATTTCGTTTCCTGTGCAAAGAGGAAGCGGAGCCTGGCTTTCTTATGTACGAATGCTTGCTTTTTTAAGAATTTAAAATTTAGATTAAACACTGTTAATTGGAACTCCCTCAGTTTCCCTCATTATGTCCCTGTTCCCTACCTCAGCTTGTCATCTAACAATAGCAGAAGGAGGGAAGCTAAATTGCGTAAAACTATTTTTATTTATTCTGTTTAATAAGAAAAAGCTTATGAAATAACTACTAGGTCTAACTGTTTTGTGGCTGATGCATCGTGCAGAGTTTTCATCGTTTTTTAAATGCTTATTTATTTTTGAGAGAGAGACAGAGAGACAGAGCACGGGCGGGGGAGGGGCAGAGAGAGAGAGAGAGAGAGAGAGAGAGAGAGAGAGACACAGAATCTGAAGCGGGCTCCAGGCTCCGAGCTGTCAGTACAGAGCCCGATGTGGGGCTCAAACTCACAAGCTGTGAGATCCTGACCTGAGCCAAAGTTGGATGCTTAACCAGCTGAGCCATCCAGAAGCCCCTAGTCCAGAATTTTTTATTTTTATTTTTACTTTTATTTTTATTTAAGTCATCTCTACCCAGCGTGGGGCTTGAACTCATGACCCCAAGATCGAGTTGCACGCTCCCCAGCCAGGGGCCCTCAGAATTTTCATCACTCCAAATGGAAACCCTTAGCCAGTCAGTCACTTCCCATCTCCCACCTGTGGCCGCTGGCAACCACGAATCTACTTTCTGTCCCTATAGACACTTGCCTATTCTGGACATTCCCTGCAGATGGAATCACAAAACACATATCCTTTTGTCTGGCTTCTTTCATTTAGCGTAATGTTTTCAAGGTTCCTCTGTGTTGGAGCGTGAATCAGTACCCTGTCCCTTTTTAATGGCTGAATAATACCCCGTTGTACAAGTGGACCCCGATTTGTTTATCCATTCTTCTTCTGGTGGACATTTCGGTGATTTCCACCTTCTGTGAATAGTGCTGCTATGGATATAGGTGTACAAGTTTTTATTGGAACATCTGTTTTCCCTTCTTTTGGGGGATCTACCCAGGAATGGGACTGGCTACTTTGATGGTTAAGTCGTTGTTTAACTTGTTTAAGTAGACTTATTTCTTATTTCATTTCATTTCATTTCATTTCACTTCATTTCATTTCATTTCATTTCATTGTATTTTAGAGAGACATAAAGTGCAAGCGAGGATGGGGCAGAGGGAGGGAGAGAGAGAGAGAGAGAGAGAGAGAGAATCTTAAGCAGGCTCCACGCTTAGTGTGGAGCCCGACAAAGGGCTCGATCCCATGACCTTGAGATCATGACCTGAGCCGAAATCAAGAGTCAGACGCTCATCCGACTGAGCCACCCAGGTGCCCCTGTTGTGATTTTAAAAGCAGCTGTGTTGATCACCTCACCTCTTCCTTTCCCTTTCAAAGTCCCTTAACATCAGTTGCGTTGTTTCTTTTCTTTTCTTTTTTTTTTTTTTCAGCAAAAGGAAGGGCATGGTGTGGATAGAGCATCCGTCCTGAGAAGCTCCTGGAAGCCTGGAACGCTCCGAGAGAAGTCGAGGCAGACAGAGTGGAAGGACAGTCCTAACCAAGTCCCTGGCAACCATCGGGGTGAGAGCTCGGTGGGGGCTCTGAGCCCTTCTGACAGCACTCCAGAAGATGATGGAAGCTTCCAGACCGTGTGGGCCACGGTGTTTGAGCATCACGTGGAGAGACACACAGTGGCTGACCAGTCAGGACACCGTCCCTCAGCCACAGCCCCCAGAGATGTGGCTGATGCCAGTATCTCAGGGTTCAGACCCAGTCACGAGAGAAGCTCATGGCTGGGGAAGGACCTGCCTGAAAAGACAGCCCTCAAGAAACAGAGCTTCAGAGGGTTCGAAAATCCTGATGCAGAGAAATGGGGACAGACTGCCCTTTCAAATGGTGAACCCAGACAGTGTCACGTGCCCTTCCCGGAAGAATACCCTTTGGACGAGAAACACAATAAGAACCCCTTCCTCCAACGTGCTGAAAACCCTCCCTCATCCCAGAGGGTCGAGCCCAAGTATGACATGATGCACACAGTGGGCAAGTGTGCGCACAGTGAGGCCGTCTCCGTGGCGTTGGAGGAAAGAGCCATGACCCTGCGAAGTGGCAGGTCTCGGCTCTCACCAAAGGGGAGGCAGCAGGCCCGTGAGGTCACCCCTGCAGAGCCAGAGTACAGGCTGGAAGTTCAGGCGGGGTCCGTCCACAGGGCCAGTTTGATTTGGGAAGCTCAAGGGACTCATGAGGTCAGTGAGCCAAGGCCTGACTTCCGGGAGCCAAAGGACACGTTTGGGGGCAATTGCCTGTCACCCAAATGGACAGGGGGGGCGACCTTGAACTGGCATAAAGCCACCGTGGTGGCCAGTGAAGAGAAAGGCTCGGAACTGAGCCCCGGGGCCAACAGCGAGCGCTCAGCCAGGTCGTGCGGCTCCGAAGTCCCTTCTGGGAGGGCCATCCAGGTGGCCGTCTGGGAGGCTCCACACGAGGGGCCCGCTGGGGCCAGAAACAAGTCAGGAGGCTGCAGCTCAGCGGGAGAAAGGGGTCCCCCCCGGGGGTGCCCTCTGGATCCTCTCTGTCTGGCTAAGGACGAGCCCTCTGGCTTCCGAGCCCGGCCACATCCAGAAGCGCTTGTGCAGAGAGGGCCCCTCGCTGTGGCTTCCGGTGAGGGTGAACCCAGGCCAGCCCAGGCACCAGAGCCTGAAGTCAAGATGCGGAAGGCGGGTCCCGCGGACCAGAGATTCGAGAGGTGGCGACGGCGGACATTACCGCACGACGTGAAGTTTGAGGAGTTCAGCTTCCTGGCCCCAGAAAACACCTCGAAGGTGGAGCAGAGGCGAACAGACCGTTTGAGCCCCACCGTCAGTGCCTTAAGAAAACCCCAGCTCTCCCACAACAGGGTGGAGGCCCAGGAGGAGAACCCAAGTGCTTCACAGGACCAGACTCGCCCAGCGGTGAAGCAACGGTCCTCTCTGGAACCCAAGGCGACATTTTTTGCAGTGACATATCAGATTCCTGATACTCAAAAAGCAAAAAGTACTGTTAAGTCAGGGCCCGAAAACTTGACGGAACATTCTAGAAAACCAGCACCGCCTCCATCTCCTCATCCTCGAACACCTACCTTGGCTTCTCTTCACCATGAAGGGCCACTGGAGAGCAAGGGCAGTAAAAACTGGACTAAGGGCAGAGAGCACGACCACACAAGCTTTTCAAAGCCTCTGAAGCCAACCGACCGTCTGTCACCTCTTGGAGACAGGATTCTGGATCCTTCTGTTGAAAGAATCATGGATGCCGACGCCTCGTGGAGTCACCGGAGACCAGAAGATGGCACCGGTTTTCAGAACAGCTGGAAGGATTGTGGGACCAAGACGTCCCCCAGCGGCGCTCCCAAAACACCCCCGGCTTCCAAAAGTCACCCAGAAGCCAACGATCTCCTCTCCAGAAGGGGCGCTGAGGGGGTCAGTGCAAGGGTCCCGGGTAAAATCAGAGATGGCTACAGATCCAGTGTTCTTGACATTGACGCCCTGATGGCAGAGTACAAGAAGCAGGAGGTGGAGGAACCCCTGGAGGGGGCACCCTCGGTGCCCAGCGGCTCGACTCAGGAGAGGCCAGGCCATTTAGGCAGGGTGGAACCAAGAAGGAGGAGCTGGAAGGAGAGGCCCGAAGCCGAGGGTCTCCAGAAACCAGCAGGTTTCACCGAAGCAAACCACAGTTCCGCTCCTGGCCCTGGCAAGCCGCGGGCAGAGACCCCGGGGGCAACCACAAACACCAAATCCAGCTCTCCACTGTGGGCTCTGCCAGTCTCAGCTCCTTCTGAAAAATATCCAGGGGTTTCTTCAGGCCCCACCGGTCCCAGGAGAAAAGACTCAGGAATCCCCGAGGATGACAGAAGGGCCTTTGCTAGTAAACATCAAGGTGCAAAGTATTCAAATTACCCAGCCGAGTCAAAGCCCCCAACCTGGGAGGATCTGGGCAGCGGGGCCAGCGTGTTGCCCAAGTCATCCCCCACTCACCAGAAGAAAGGGACCCCGAGGAAATCCATCGGGACGGAAGAGGAGGCCAGTGTGTTCCAGTGGGGTGATCACCCTTATGACCGTGACAGGTCACAGCTGGATGTCAAGAGAGCCTATTCGGAGAAGGGTCCGCCTGCCAAAATCCGAGAGGGCCTGTCTGCCATGCAGGAAGCCAGAGAGAGGAGACGAGAGTGGCCCCAGGGGAGGTCCAGCCTCCCCGGAGACAGTTCTGAGGTCAAGGAGACCAAAATGGGGCTCTGTCGGCGAGAGTCGGGGACTCGAGACAGTCAGAAGGTGAGTGGTCAGTTTTGTAAGGCGTTGATTAAACACATAGGCCGGGGGTGCTCAAAATCCCATGCGACATGGGCCAGGTGGGTATGTACATGAGTGGCGGGGATTGTGGCAAATAGAGAGCTCAGTTCCGGCCGGTTCTTGACACGCGATGCCTCCATTTAGTCCACGGGGCCACCAGTTTGAAACGTCTGGCCTAGAATGTTGGTGACGATCGGTATCATTTATTGAGCACCCTCTGTCCGTTCCTGTGTGTTGTCATCAAGTTCATTATCGTGTCCTGCATATTCAGCATCATGCATGACATTTTGTGAGCATTCAGGGAATACTGGCTGTTTCAATGTTTAATTATTTATTTTGAGAGAGAGAGGGTGAGCAGAGTGGGGGACGGGCAGAAAGAGAGGGAGAGAGAATCCCAAGCGGGCTCCCAGTCATCAGCACAGTGCCCTACACAGGGCTCGATCTCACAAACCTTGGGATCGTGGCCTGAGGCGAAATCCAGAGTCAGATGCCTCCCCGACTGAGCCACCCAGGCGCCCCGAGTGAGTGAGCGATCTTAGGTGAGTCTCATGACAATCCCTCTTTTGTGGGACAGTTGGAGTTTCCACAGAGGCAGGCCTTTGCAAGCAGCTGTTTGAGGAGGTGATTCCCCTCTGGGATCCCCAGTGGAGAAGTGAGGCAGGTGTTAAAAGTGCCCCTGTGGGCATCTGAGGCTCATTCTCGTTGGAGCAGTAGCATAGATCACCCCTGAGTGGTCCTGTCCAAGAAGCAAGGAACCTGGCATATATATTTTCCATTTCCCTTCTGTCCTCACTGGGGGCTGTTTCTGGGACTCTCAGCATTCAGACTCTTCCATTCTGTCTGGTGCCATGCTCAGTGGTGGAGAGAAAACTCCCCACGCGGCAGGACCCCATTGCCATCAGCAGGTCCTTGAGCGCAGGGCTGGGCGCCCACAACGTCTGCTGCGGGTGCAATCGTCTTGTACCCTTGAAAAAGCCCAGGCTCAGAGAAGTTAAGTAACGTGTCTCAGGTCACACAGCACCAAGTGGCAAAGCTGGTATTTGAACCCAGGTCTGGCTCGATACCCAAGCTTTCACGTAGGCTACTCGGTGGTAAATGAGGAATCTTGAAGGTGGGGAAAAAATCTGAGGCATGGAGCCTGCCTTCGGGAAGCTTATGATCTCTGCGGGGAGATGGGACACGGTGACCCACGGCCAGGAAATGATCAGGCGCGGAGGTGAGGTGCTGGAGAAGAGGCCCAGGAAGGCATCCTGGAGGAGCTGCTGGCCGGAGCCCACGCTGGGGGGTGGTTATGAGTTTGGATAGGCTGGTTCGGGGGGTGAGGGCATTCGCGGCAGAAGCACAGCACGCGCAAAGGTTTGGAGGTGGGGACCAGACATGGCAAGCTCTGGGAGCAGTGCGGAACCTCGGTCCCTGCACTGCCACTCATATGCGGTGGCGTCAGCCAACTGGCACCCAAGTCCCACATCTGCCACCCGGACCGAGTGACGAAGGGCAAAACCCTTTCACTGAGGCGCCCGAGCCTCCGTTTCCTCATCTGTAGAAAAGAGAGCAGAGGGTCCCGCCTGGGAAGGGATGTTGTAGACACGAAAAGAGTGGGATAGTGTCACCATCTCCCCGACACACGGGGTCGACCGGGGTTTTCCAGTTACCACGTTCAGACTCCTCTGTGCCGCTCACCAGCTGTGTGTAAAGCACACTCCTCCGCGGAGGTGACCGAAGTTTCTGCCCAGCAGCCCTGTTGGTAGAAATGGAGAGACCACGCCGGCTGGGCCCCCGGTGGGCGTGGGCACGGGACCGGCCCGTGGGTTCACGAGGCTGTTATTGTGGGAACAGCAGGAGGGGGGAGGGGGCAAGGAAAGGTGACACCTGGTCCTTTTGCCAGCGCCTTGCTCGGGGGGCCTGGCGGCAGCGGGAGAGGCACAGCGTTGTGGGGAGGGGGGCCCCGGCCCAGCCTTGGACGCCCGCCCGGGGTGCGCAGGCCCCATGAGTGCTCGTTGTCAGCGGATCTGTTTTCTCACTGAGGGGTTGGGAGGCCTTGGACCAGCTCCCTGTTTCCCTTCCCTCCTGCCCGACCATCTCTGGGTCTTGATCTTGAAAAAATAAACGGAAGCAATACAGAAGGACAAAGTGTTGGTTGTTGAAAATTCAGACCTTACCAGAGCGAATAAAAAAGCATACCCCTTGAGCCCCCTTCCTGTCCCCGCCCCTCCCCCCCGCCGACATGCAACCACGGTCACCACGTTTGATATGTTGCAGCTTTTCCTAAACATCACAGAGCTGCTTGTCCATGGTATGTATCTTTATTTGTAGCCGTTGTATTTTTCCTTACTGCAAAAGGAGCGAACGCTTGTGTGAAACTGAACCGTGTGATGGAAACATACAGTTCAGAAGGAAAAGCTCCCCTAGATGATGGGTCTGGGGCACAGCCTTCCAGACCTGTCAGTGGTTCTCAGCTGCAGGCAGTTTTGCCCTTACGGCACGTTTGGCAAAGTGTAGGACATTTCCTTCCTTCCTTCCTTCCTTCCTTCCTTCCTTCCTTCCTTCCTTCCTTCCTCCCTCTCTCCCTCCCTCCCTTTCTAAACGTTTATTTATTTATTTTTGAGACCGAGAGAGAGAGAGAGAGAGAGAGAGAGAGAGAGAGAGCAAGAGGAGGGCAAAGAGAGAGGGAGAGAGAATCCCAAGCAGGCTTTGCCCTGTCACTGCAGAGCCTGATGCGGGGCTCGAGCCCGTAAACCATGAGATCACGAACCGAGCCAAAGTCAAGAGTCTAGGATGCTCAACTGACTGAACCACCCAGGCACCCCAAGTGTAAGACATTTTCTTTGTCACAACCAGGGAAGAGTTTTCTCCTGGCTTCTAGGGGGTGGAGGCACCCTGCAGTGCAGATTGTCCCCTGCCCGCACCCGAGGCTCATCCAGCCCCTTAGTGTGCGTCACTCCGTGGGTAAGGAAGCCCCCGTCGGATACAGACACAGGTATAGCATACTCTCTTACAGAAACATGGTAATATTCTACAGGAAATCTTACAACTTGCTTTTTTTTTTTTTAAGCAAAAAAAAAAAAAAAAAAAAAAAAAAAAGAAGCCTGATGCAGGGTTCAAACCCACAAACCGTGAGATCATGACCTGAGCTGAAATCAAGAGTCGGACGCTTAGCAGACTGAGCCACCCAGGGGCCTCAAGACTAAGCTTTTTTTTTTTTTTTTTTAATCCGCATACTTATTTTTTTTTTAATTTTTAAAAATGTTTATTTATTTTTGAGAGACAGAGCATGAGTAGGGGAGGGCAGAGAGAGAGGGAGACACAGAATCCGAAGCAGGCTCCAGGCTCTGAGCTGTCAGCACAGAGCCCGACGGGGGGCTTGAACCCACCAACCCTGAGATCGTGACCTGAGCCAAAGTTGGACGCTTAAAAGACTAAGCCACTCAGGCACCCCAATGTTTAATTTTTTTGAGAGGGAGAGAGACAGAGACAGAGACAGAGGGAGAGCAGAGAGAGAGAGGGAGACACAGAATCGGAAACAGGCTCCAGGCCCTGAGCTGTCACCACAGAGCCCGATGTAGGGCTCGAACTCGCCAGCTGTGAGATCCTGACCTGAGCTGAAGTCGGACGTTTAACTGACTGAGCCACCCAGGCCCCCCATCCACATACATAACTTTGTCCCAGGCCCGATTGCAGTGTTCCATTTAATTAAATGATTTATTTTCATTTCAAAAGAGAGAACCTTTTCCAGAGGCTCCAAAAATACTTGAAGGCATGGAGTATGAATCCTCTGCATTCCTCCCATCCCTTGACCACTTAGATTCTTTTTTGGTCCGAATTCGTACAGCGTCTCTTTCTGAAAATACAAGCAAACACGAACACATACTCCTAATTTTGCCTCTGGTTTTTTCTCCATCAAAGAGCGCATTCTCTCCAGGTGGTTGGAACTTTGGGGGCACATGGGAGTAACCCAGGCAACCCTAAAAGAGAGCGATGCAGGGGCCTCACCCCGGACCAGACTGGTTGGAATCTCTGCGGTGGGGCCCACCCTTGTTAGATTTGACTTTTTTTTTCCCCCCTGTGTGAGTGTCCTTGGGAGCGTGTGGATTCAGCCCATAGAGGGTGTCCTCATTCTTTTCGATTGCCATATGGTAGAGATGGCGATATTTCTGATCTTTGGCTATTTACAAACCACGGGCAGACGTCACTTTTGCACACGTGCAGGTTTGCCCGTGGGTTGAGAATGGCGATAGTCTGAAGGTGAATGCAGTTGTAATCTTGCGGGATTGTGCCAAAGTGCCCTGTGTCGTCCGGGGCTATGCCCTTTTACAGATAGCCTCGCCAGCAGGGGCAGGGCCCCACGTCCCCTCAGCCTGACCAGCCGGGTGTGTTACCAGACTTCTGGATCTCCTGCCCCTGATGAGCGCCCACCTGTTGTCACATGTACGAGGCTCCTTGTATTTCCTTCCTGTGACCTGCTTGCTCAAGTCCCGCCCACTTTTCTTTTGGAACATGGCCCTTTTCTCATCGAGTTATTGGAGTTCTCTATTAGTGAGGTGAACCATTTGTACGTCTATGATTTGATTTCCCCCTGGAGGCGGCCCCGGACTGCCTCTCGGGCAGACTCGAGATCAGGCCCTAGCGTCGTTATTTATTAGCTGTGTGACTCTGGGCATCTCGCCAGACCTCTCTGAGCCTAAATTTCCTCATCTGTGGAATGCGAATCCTGCCTGCTTCGTGGTTTGTTGGAGATTTATCGTGAAATAATGTGTGGTCAAGACCGCGGCCCAGGGCCTGATGTGAAGGAGGGTTGACGGAATCTGAAAGAAGCGCCTCCAGACCTCTGCTCATTTACTACATTTAATAAATGCACTAGCCCTGAGCCAGGCCCTGATCTAGGCACCACGGCTGCTGGAGGGACCAGCCCACTGTATCAGGCTGTGTCACACGATAAGGCAGCCACCAGTCACATGTGGCCATTTAAATGTAAATCAGTTTAAATAACATTAAAAATTCAGCTTCTCAGTCCCACTTGAGCCATGTTCAAGTGCTCAAAAGCCACAGGTGGCTCAGGGCGACTGTTATCGTACAGCCCGAATAGAGAACATCTCCATAATCGCAGAATGTGCTCATGGATGGCTCAGGTCTGGGGGGCAAGCAGACCTCAAGTGAGTGAGAGTGCTAAGTCCTGGGGGGATAGAAAAAGAGGCGATGGGGAGGTGACTCTAAGAGGGTGGCCAGGAGAAGATCCCCTGGGAAGGGGACCTGAGTGATGGCCATCATGTGGATGAGCCGGTCCCGTGGATGCTGGAAGGGTGCCAGTGGGCACAGGGGGCAGGGGCCAGAGCAGAAGGGAGCCACTGATTCCCAAGGTCATCTCGCCATTGCACATTGTGTCAGCAGTGCATGAAGGCTGGTTTCTCTACATCCTTGCCAACACTTGCCTGTCTCTTTGGTTCCGCCATCCTACCGGGTATAAAGGTATCATCGTGGTTTGGATTTGCATTTTCCATGGCACATCGTTTCATGTGCCTGTTTGACCATGCGTATCCCTTCTTTGTCCACTTTTTAAGTTGGGTTATTGTTCTCTTTTATCATTGATTTGTAATTGCTCCTTATGTATCCTGGACCCAACTGCCTTCACAGACCTGTGATTTGCAGAAATTTTCTCCCATCGTGTGGGTTTTATTTTTCACTTTCTTGATGGTGCCTTTTGAAGCACAAAAGTTTTTCATTCTGGTGAGCTCCCATCTATTTTTCCTTGGTACACTTGTGCTTTTGATGCCATATCTGAGAAACCATTGCCTCATCCGAGGCCGTGAACATTTACGCCCCTGTTTTCTTCTGAGAGTTTTCTAGGTTTTGCTCTGGCCTTGAGGTCTTTGATCTATTTTGAGTTGATTTTGGTTTATGATGTGCGGTTTGAAGCGTGTTTCGAAGGCAGAGTCTCAGCTTCGTTGATGAGGTGGACAGAAGCAAGAGACTGGAGGGCGACCTGAGGGTCTTAGCTGGCACGGCTGGGTGATGGGCAGGGCGGGGGAGGAGCAGTTTTGGAGGGAAGGAATGGGGAGGATCTGTTTGGGGCATGTGGAGCCAGAGATGAGTGTGACCGGTGCAGGGAGATGTCATGGGGTCCCAACGTGGACAGACAAAATCTGGAGTTGTCTGTGCACGCTTGGGATTTATTTAAAGCCAGGGGGTGTTATGAGAGATCCCCGAGGGAATAATGAAACAGGGAAAGAGAAAGCTCTGGGGCTGGCCCTAGGTGAGTGGACATCCCTCTGAGATGCGGGGAGCCTGAGAAGGATCAGGAAGGGAGGTAGGAGGAAACACAGAGGGTTTCAAAGAGAGGCTGTGAGGCAAGGGATCCAAAATCCAGCCTTGTTCTTCACTCATGCTGTGTGTTCTTAAGCAGATGTCTTCCCTCTCTGCGCCTTCCTATCCTTGGCTGTGCAGAGAGAGTGTAGGGCTGGCTGACATTTATGGAGGGCTCCCCGCTTGCCGGGCATGGGGGGAGATGAGCCTGAAGCCGGCTCGTCGGGCACACTGCCACCTGGTGGCAGCACTGTGTCACTGACTTTGCGTGCGCTGCTCTCACTTGGTTCTCCCCTGAGCCTAGAAGCCGAACACTCTTATCATGGGTCTTTCCCCACATGGTCAAGGCTCAGAGAGGTGAAGGCACTGACCTGAGGTCACACAGTTATTAAGTGGCCGAGACTGGGCTGAACCCAGACCCTGTAGATTACCTGCCATCATCAAGGCAGACCATCGTGGGGTGGGCTTTAGTTTTCGTTTTGCTCTTTCAGGTACAGAATGGACTTTCTTATCGTGACAGATTTGTTCTGTAAATGCGAAAGCCCCAGGAAAATCCTTTGCCTGTGTTCTATGTCTCAGGTGCTGCCACAAGACCCAGAGAGGGAGGATGCCCCGCAGGACAGTGAGCAGCTACTCTGGCATGTGTCCCCTGCAGCCTCGGGTCCCCGGAGAAGTCACAGTTTCCGCAAAGACAGGAGGAGCGGGCCTTTTGTGGTGAGTGACGCTGGTACGGCCAGACTGGAACTCGTGAGGGGGTGGGACGCCGCTGGGACTGTGGTCGTATGGACGGTCATGGCTGGCCTGGGGGCCTGAGGGGGTCGCGGAGGGGCAGGTGCCTGTCCCGGAATCTGGTGTTGGCCACGGTTCTCGACGTGGAGGGTGTTTGGTGCTTCTGCCAGGAAGCCTTCGCTCGTCTTGCGTTTCCAGCCCAATGCAGAGAGGTATCTTGTGCCTGGCGTGGAGCAGATAAGAGAATCGGCCACGGGGCCTTGAGGTTCTGGGTTCGAGTCCCAACACCGCCCCTCTCAGTCTCTTTCAGCAATTGGCTTCTTTGCCTGGAAAACAAGATCATGATTTCTGTTTCTTTTGCGCCGTTAATTTAACCAGGCTGGTCCTGGAGCCAGGTCACCAGGGCTCAAATCCTAGCTCTGCGTGCAGACGGGTGTTTGGCCTCAGTTTCTTCATCTGTGAAATGGGGATAATAATGGCATCTACTGCACAGGGCTGCCATGGGGGCTCAGAGAAGATGGTGCAGGGAGCGTCCGGCATGGTCATGGGGACACAGTCACACTTTAATGAGTGTTATGGTTACCATCGTTATTATTACTCTGGTTTTTGAGTCTCTCTTTGCCTGTCACTGAGTCCGTTTCTTTGGGCCAGCACTCGCCCTCTCTCTCAGCCTGTTTCCTCACTTGTTAAGATAGGTATTTCTTTTTTTTTTTTTTTTTTTTAATGTTTTATTTATTTTTGAGACAGGGAGACACAGAGCATGAACAGGGAAGGGTCAGAGAGAGGGAGACGCAGAATCTGAAACAGGCTCCAGGCTCCGAGCTGTCAGCACAGAGCCCGATGCGGGGCTCGAACTCACGGACCGCGAGATCATGACCTGAGCCGAAGTCGGCCGCTCAACCGACTGAGCCACCCAGGCTCCCCAAGATAGGTGTTTCTTTAATGAGGCAACCCCAGTTCTGCTCACGAGGTCATTTGGATCATAAGCTCTGTGTATTTCAAGGACACTTGTGCCTGGTCTCGGGTCTTGGAGATATGGGAAGCTCCAGGATTTAAATCCCAGGTTCCATCCCTTCTGGCTTTATGGTCATGGGCAAGAAATCACTCTTCCCTGAACTTCGGGTTCGTCCTCTGCAGCTCGTGGTGAAGAAGGATGCCCCCCGCAGGGTTCTTGATGGGAGACTGTCTATACCAGAGTCAGGGGGCTGACTATATGTCAGAGCGGGAGCTCACGCTCAGACCTCGGCTAGCGTCTGCTGAGCAACCCCAGAAAGCTTGGGTGTTCAGATCCCAGCCGCAGACCTGTGTACATTTGAAACCACCTGGTGTTTTTGTTAAATGTTCCCTTCCACTGATTTCTTCCTCACCCTTTTCTCATTGCCTCTCTGGTGGCACCGACTCAGCTTATCTGATTGTACTCGAACTTTCGTGTGTGTAAGCCAAACAGAGGTTATGGAGAGAAAAGCATTTAAGGCCTATCTTTTTATAGTCTCTGCTTGCTGGCATCTTCCCTGGTGGCCTGGCTTCCCCTCTTCCACTCTCTGTCATTGAGGAGCCTTTGTCTTTGGAGTCCTCAGGTGGCTTGCCTTGGCTCTCTCCTTGTGGCTCCCCGAGGCCTCTGCCCCGTTGCAGCCCTGCTTGATTTCCTCTCCTCGGAGGCGGGCGGGCAGGGTGGGGGCCTCAGACCTCATGTCTCTGCTTTGAGGACTCACACCTGCAATTCCAGGGAGTGGCCACCAGGGGGTGGTGGTGTTCAGCTCACTTTCTGATGGCTCCAAAAGCCTCACTCCGAGGACCTCAGCATTGGGCACTGGAGGCTGAGAAGTGGGCTCCACTTCCGGCTCTGTCAATGTGTGACCTTGGGCAAGTGATCTGACGGACCTCAGTGTGCCTCAGTTTTTTCTTCTGTAAAACGAGGATGGTCCTATCCGACCTCAGGAGCATTTTTGTGAGCAGTAATGAGATCGCTCAGCACTCAGAGGAATTGATCCTCAATGAATACCAGGGCTGCAGTGACAGCTTTTCCTTCATTTTCCCCCTTCCCCTCCCCTCCCCCCTTTTTTCAGCTCTCTCATTGTAAGAGGGGAAACTGAGGCCCAGAGAGCAGGCCGGACTTAGGGTGACCCTCCAGGTGAGGACTGGGGTCCTGAGCCCTCGGCCCTGCTGGCCGCCCTTACTTCTCTGCAAGTTGTCAGACCTGCACGTTGTATTTCCTGAGGTGCCTGAGGGGGTCCCCCCGTAAACGTTGTCTACGGTTCTGGTCACTCTTGATTACTGACGCCGGGCTGCGGGTTTCCAGTTTGGGTTCTCCATGTTTTGAGCCTGGTCTCGGGCCTTGTCCATCCCGATTCTACCCCCCATGGTGGGGAGTATGAATCCCATTTAGCAGAGGAGGGAGCCGAGGCCCAGAGAGGTCAAGTCGCTTGCCCAAGGCCACACAGTTAACATATGAGGGAGCCGGGATGGAGACTAGGCCTTTGCTGCTTCCAGCCTCCGACCTGGGCCCTGTCTGCCCCGGGACGGTGTCTTTGGCCTGCCACCAACCCCTGCCAACCCCTCTCTGGGCCTGCAACACTTGGTGCCTTCACTCACAAGGGAGCAGCAAAGACAACCTTGGCCCTGGGGGTGAGAATGTGATGCTTGTTCAGCCCGGGCTTGGCCGCCAGCTGTTCTGCCGCGGCCGCCCTCTGGAGGGTGCCTGGGACTTGCCCGGTCTGCGCAGCCCCGCCCCCACCTGGCTGACACACAGCCCCGAGCACTGAAAGACCAGTGTGGCCCTGGCTCTTGATCGAGGCAGTGGGCAAGTGAGTTCACCACTCGGGGCCTCTCTTTTGGGAATCATGGTAATAATAATGCCTAATAAGTTACGGTGCTTAATGCGTGGTATAGTTACTAGTATTATCCCCATTTGACAGATGGGAAAACTGAGGCCCGGAGCCATTAGGTACGTCTCCCAGGTTGGAGCTGTGATGCCAAGATGTTCATAAAGCACTGAGCACAGTGCCGGGTGGAGAGTAACTGCCTGATAAATGTCACCTGCTGTTACTCTATCGTTAATTATCATTTGCCGTCAGTTTCTTTTTCCTCTACCTTCTCTTGAAGGGCTACTCGATGGAACAGGAAGGCGTCCCCAATCTAGAAGTTTCTCTGCTGTTGAGGAAACTGAGGCCCAGCAAGGGGAGGTGTCTTGTTCAGGGAGGGCCCCGCTGCAGCCAGGACAGAGCTGGGACTATAGACCATGTTTCTGGACGCCCTGGCCAGTGCTCCCCTGTTGCTTCCAGGGCTATACTTAGTAGGACGTTGGGTCCTTGTGGCAAACCCGAGCCCTGTGCCGGGCCTCCTTTCCCCAGAAAGTGAGCCTTTGGTCTGCACTCAGGCCGGTGTCCTAAGGCACAGTGACTCAGTTGTGGACCATGGCCTTGGGTCACAGTTTGCCCCAGAGGCCTCTCCCATGACTGAAGGTACACATCCACCAGCGGTGGGGGTTCCCTGTAATGGGGCAGGTGGCAGACCTCTGTTGACCTTAAGAATGTTCTCCCAAATCTCCAAACCCTGGGCCGGCATTTGCGGGCTCCTTCTCTCATGGGCCCACTGTGTGCCAGGCCCTGGAGATTCTCCCAGCTTCCTGGGGCTACACTTCAGCGGGACCTGCAGGTAGCCTAGGAGGGTCTAGTTAGTTGGAGGAGGAGGAGAGGAAGGAGACTAAGGAAGGAGGAATTGCATATGGAGGTATGGAGGTGGGGTGATGGAGGAGGCATGTTTGGGCCAGAGTGAATAGACCGGTTTGGCCGAGGCGGAATGTTGGGGGGTGGTCTCAGTCTTCCTTTTGACAATTTTGTAAAAAATTCTATTTACTTGTTTTGAGAGAGACAGAGACAGCACAAGTGGGGGAGGGGCAGAGAGAGAGGGAGACAGAATCCCAAGCAGGCTCCCCAGCGCAGAGCCCGATCGCGGGGCTCAAAGCCACAAAGCCGCGCGATCATGACCTGAGCCGACATTGAGAGTCGGGCGCTCAACCGACTGAGCTCCCTGGGCGCCCCTTGACAAATATTTATCTACATGTCCTTGGTGCTGTGCTGGGCATTGGGCTACAGTTACAAACGAGACACAGATAAATAAGAAGGTAGATAAACACTTGCGGTGGGTTCTAAACGCTCCTGTTCGTTGAGCACTTACTATGTGCCCGGCCCCGTGCCATGGGCCTTCCCGGCATTCCTCCCTTTAATTTGTTCAAGGTTCAAAGGAGGGACACTTGTTTGAGGTCTTGAAAGATGAACAGGTGTTTGCCAGATGGGTGTGATCCGGGAAGAGGTGGTTTACCCGCCCCCCTCCCCCCCACCCCGTGGAGGGAACAGCTGGGGCAAAGGTTCAGGGGTGTGAAGCTGCTCTATGCACTGAATGTGATCTAGAGTCCAGGAGACGGTATGGAGGCTTTTACACTTTGATGCTTCGTTCCCGGACACCCCCAGCGTGTTGCTTTAATGCCAAGTTCAGACGTTTTCCTGCATCTCTTGCTGAGCAAACTGTGGTGCTTGCTTCTGAGGGAGGGAAAAACCATTTGGGATTCTAATGCGGAGAGTTGTGAAGGCCGTCAACTCGAGGTGAGGTAAGCGGGAGATTTGTGAAGTGGCCCCGGGTGGGTACGTTGTTGGTTTGGGCTGGATATTCTCTTTGAATTTTAGTTGGTTGACTAGGCATTCGAGTGGGAAGGGAAAAAAAAAAAATCAAAATGAAAGAGTATATGTGAACTGCTAGAAATAACTCATCAAAGATTGTGCTTGAAAAACAAGCTTTGAGTAAAGATTTTGTGCGTGTGTGTGTGTGTGTGCGTGTGTGTGTGTGTGTGTGTGTGTGTGTGTGTTATTTCTCTTTTTAATCCACGATATGGATTCTTCTCCCAGTAATGTGTTGCTTGGCATTTCCATGTTTGATGTTGGGCCTGTGTTGATGCCATTCGAATGGAAAGCCTTAGGATTGTGGCTCAC